TGACATCTCCTAAAGTCACGCCCATTTCCACTTCAAATAACTTCACTTCAGAAGTTTAAACATTATTTTAAAAGAAATTTCAGTAATGTCTGATACAATAATCATATAAGGTCACCTGTATATTTTTATTGAAATCTATCAATCTATCCTCCTCCTCCTCCTCCTCCTCCTCCTCATCATCATCATCATCATCATCATCATCATTCTACTCATCACCATCACATAATCATCATCAATTTCCTCCTCCTCATCAACTTCTCCTCCTCATCATCATCATTATCATCACAACATGTGATAACACAAAAAGACTAACATTGTTCTCTGTTTACTAGCCTCTACAATGTATTTTCCTGACCTGTTCAGTTCCTTTAAATCAACTGTATTGAACAGATCTAAAAACTTTGAACAAAGATGGCTGATACCATAAGTTTCTTCTTTGATTCGGGGTGTGTGGGACATGTAAATAGAAAGGAAACAGTTATTACAATAGCCATTATTTCTGGAAATATTTCTACAGCTGTCAGTTTCTATACAAAGATTATGGGCAGACAATCGCAATTTTATAATTGCAATTTTGCGTTGCCTTGGTAACAATTTAGATTACCCCATTCAGAAAATTCTATATCTTTGTGTGATATGAAGCTTGACACATTTGAAGCTCGTTAGTATGTCTGTTGTATACTTTGTTCTCATTTGAAAAAGTGACATTATTTTCTTGGATTGAGCAAGGTGTAAATGGCGGGGTGTCGTCGATGAAGCAGAAGACGCTTGTAGAACACCTGATCTTAATCTCCTTGTATTTTTTTTCAAATGTTTGTGTTTGTGTGTGTGAGGGTGTGTGTGTATGTGTGTGTGAGTGTGTGTGTGTGTGTGTGTGTGTGTGTGTGTGTGTGTGTGTGTGTGTGTGTGTGTGTGTGTGTGTGTGTGTGTGTGTGTGTGTGTGCGTGTGTGTGTGTGTGTGTGTGTGTGTGTGTGTGTGTGTGTGTGTGTGTGTGTGTGTGTGTGTGTGTGTGTGTGTGTGTGTGTGTGTTTGAATAATATTTCACCATATCAAAGACCTGATTGTCACATAAATAATCACAGATTCAAGGGAGACTACTCGTACATTTGTAGTTAATATAACTTGTACCTCCGAGGAAGATTTTATTTAAAAACAGCGACACACGGCGATGTTTTTTGTCAGTTTTATGTACCTGCTTGATAAGACAAATGCTTACTCTTGCGGGAACCTTTTCTTTTTATTAATTAAGTCCCATTTTAAATATCCTGGTTTTAAAAATCTCATATCAGCTCTTTAGAAAATAAAATCAAGCCAAAAACACTTTTATTGACATACGATACAAATAATGGGAAAAGACAACCCTAGATATTGATGACAGGACAAATCACCTCAGATCTTACTGGCCGTCAACTTCAGGAATACATTAATAGTTAAGTCTACAGTTGTAGACAAGTCTTTCCAGATTTCACGTATTTACCTCAGATTTTGCCGAGTGGATGAAAACACGTCAGATATTTCTTGCAGTGGTCTTGATGATAAAACATCGCAGTGATCTTGATGATAAAACATCACAGTGATCTTGATCTTAAAACATCACGGTGATCTTGATGATAAAACATCGCAGTGATCTTGATGATAAAACATCGCAGTGATCTTGATGACAAAACATCACAGTGATCTTGATCCTAAAACATCGCAGTGATCTTGATGATAAAACATCACAGTGATCTTGATCATAAAACATCACAGCGATCTTGATGATAACACATCGCAGTGATCTTGATGATAAAACATCACATTGATCTTGATCCTAAAACATCACAGTGATCTTGATGATAAAACATCACAGTGATCTTGATCCTAAAACATCACAGCCATCAAACGTATAAATGAAGTGGTAAACTGTGGTGAAAATGGTCTAGTATTTAATTACGGTTCAAAGAAGTTTCCATAATACATAAAAATGATAGTATCTTGACAAAAGAAAAAGCCCAATTGTCTTAACAGTCACCTGAATTTCATAAACATTGTTTGTGTTGTGTTACATATATCGCATCAAACATCTTGTTAACATAGTTAACTGTCATCCTATTTCATGGATTCTAACAGAGTTTGAATTAGAGAGAAAACCAAAAAAATCTCTGTAAGCAACTTAACCCCCTCCCTTGGGGAAAATGCAAGGATCATGAAATTTATGATTTTGGTTAAAACATCTTAAAAACCCTTCCATCTATGAAAAGTATTGGATTCTTCCATATCTGGGTGTTGAGGAGATTTTCGAAAATTTGATTCAATTTGACACCACCCCAGTCCCCTAGGTCAGAGACATTATAATTCATCAATTTGGTTAATCATTGGCCATGAAAATATCTAACGAATTTCATTAAAATTGGCTCAGGGGTTTTCAAGAAGAAGTAGAAAATGTAAATTATCTTACAACAGAACACAGATGTACTCGGGTAAAATGTTATCGCATTAGATCACCCTTACATTACTGGAATATTACTGAAATTCTTAACACATTTTTAATATCTAGTATGAAATGTATAATTAAAAAAATAACTACCTTGCAAACGTTTTATAAACAATGGGCCCCACAGGCCGTAAGTCATCTGAATATAAAGACCTATATATAAAAAAGGACAAGTAACCTCCACATGAGATACAAGTAACCACCACATAATATACCACAAGTAACCTCCACAGGTAACCTCCACATTAGATACCATATGTAACCTCCACATTAGATACCACAAGAAACCTCCACATTAGATACCACAAGTAACCTCCACATTAGATACCACAAGAAACCTCCACATTAGATACCACAAGTAACCTCCACATTAGATACAAGTAACCTCCACATTAGTTACCACAAGAAACCTCCACATAATATACCACAAGTAACCACCACATAATATACCACAAGTAACCACCACATAATATACCACAAGTAACCTCCACATTAGATACAAGTAACCACCACATAATATACCACAAGTAACCTCCACATAATATACCACAAGTAACCTCCACATTAGTTACCACAAGAAACCTCCACATTAGATACCACAAGTAACCTCCACATTAGATACCACAAGTAACCTCCACATTAGATACAAGTAACCACCACATAATATACCACAAGTAACCTCCACATGTAACCTCCACAGGAAACCTCTACATGAGATATCACATGTGACCTCCACATTAGATACCACAAGAAACCTCCACATGAGATACCACAATTAACCTCCACAGGGAACCTCCACATTAGTTACCACAAGAAACCTCCACATTGGATACCACAAGAAACCTCCACATTAGATACCACAAGAAACCTCCACATGAGATACCACAAGTAACCTCCACAGGGAACCTCCACATTAGATACCACAAATGACCTCCACATTAGATACCACAATTAACCTCCACAGGGAACCTCCACATTAGTTACCACAAGAAACCTCCACATTGGATACCACAAGAAACCTCCACATTAGATACCACAAGAAACCTCCACATGAGATACCACAAGTAACCTCCACAGGGAACCTCCACATTAGATACCACAAATAACCTCCACATTAGATACCACAGTTAACCTCCACAGGTAACCTCCACATTAGATACCATATGTAACCTCCACATTAGATACCACAAGAAACCTCCACATTAGATACCACAAGTAACCTCCACATTAGATACCACAAGTAACCTCCACATTAGATACCACAAGTAACCTTTTGAATACTGAATATTGTAACAATAATAATTTGCTTTAAAACGTATATAATCGTCTGTCGAGTAGTTTGTAATCTCAACAATTTCTTTTTGAAGCAAACCTCCACGGCGCGTTGCGCCGTACCAATAAATACGTTACTGTTTCAATTGGTTTAACCGTATTTTGTATACACAATACACAGCTCATCATTTTAAAAAAAAATCAGGTCAAGTTAATGTTAGTGGGGATTATATCCAATATCCGTTCTGTCGTAAAAATGACAACATAACGGGAAACATTTATTTGTTGAGACGAGAGGAAAATTTATTTTCTATTTTTTTTTTTTTTTTTTTAGAAGGAGTGGGTGGGGGGGGTGAATAATGTTAATAATCTTTTTATTTTCTTTCTTTTTGCTTTGATGGTCATTCATCATTGATTGTCAAATGCTTACCTTGGTCCCAAGCTAGGTTCTCAATCTTAACACCATTGATTAATAAGGAATTACATAATGGATGAGTAGTAACACGGAAGCTCTCGGAGACGTACGACCCTTTATCAAACACTTAATGTGTTATTCAGGAACGGTGATACTCGATACTGTGTCATTATTCGCTATCATACTAATTAGCTAAGTGTGATATAACTCATAATACAGTATGTATCTTCTTCCTGACTTTTCAAATATACTTTTGTTGCAATTACACCGGCAAAAGCTGATAAAACTTAGAATTCAATATATTGGAAAATCCCAAAGAAAATGTGTTTGTTTATCGTTTCGATTAAATTGGCCTACAGCAAGCTAGAAACGTCGTCCACTGTCAATTAAAAACAAATATCATATCAGCTTCTTTTTCTATTTTAACTGATGTAATACAGTCCTTTCCAAACTGACTAAGCGTAAATAAATAGCCAGAGAAATTGAGAACCAACCTATGATTCCGGATGTGTTATACTAACACCTGAGTCCCGCTACACGATGCATGTGATTTTAATAAGTCGTAAGCCCATATACATGTATTAATGTATGTTGTAAACATAATACCTGTGATGAAAACCGGTTTATCATTTCACGGAGAAAATTGGATTTTTTTATGTTTACTTCAGCTGTGCTCGTGTCTATCTTTTCTTGGTAGAAAGCTATTACAGTGAACAACAGACAAGGAAGCAATGCATGAAACTGCGTTTTAACTTTGAAGTAGGAAGTCGATCACTTCTCAAATATTCCTCTGGTTTAGATAGTGTATCCTTAAGACTGCAGAGTGGAATTCTATAGAAATGGGGGATCGACTTGAGGACTGGAACGATGAACTGTCTCGTCATCTTATTCCCGATTCTGTTATTTTGATGATTTATTTGGTGGTAGGGATCCTTGGGAATTCTCTCGTCATATACATACACACAGTCAAACTCAGAACTAAATGGGAAGACCGATTCTTCATACCGGTGTTAGCCATTGTGGATTTGATATCGTGTGTCGTAAGTAGCTCTTTCAGCTTTTCTATAAACATGCTTCCGGTCAAATACAGTAACAACAGCGCGTGCAAAATCATGTTTTTTCTTAACATGACGTGCACGTTGATATCAGCGCTCATGCTTGCCGTCATAGCGCTTAACAGGTACAGAAAAATATGTAAACCTTTCGAAAAACAGATGAATATGTTTTGGAAGAAGATCGCCATTGCTTGTGTCGTTGGTATTGCCTTGGTCATCTCTTGGCCTTGTTTCCTGTTCTACGGCTCGAAAGAGGTGTTCGAAGGTCAGATACAAGGGTACCGCTGTACTAGTGTCCGAGGTCCGTGGTCAACTATTCAGCCTCTCGTGTTCAAGGCTGCTGTAATGCTTTTAACTTTTACCATTCTTGTGTCGCTGGTGGTATTTTATTCATTGATAGGAAAAGTTGTGTTCTGTCATATGCTCAGATGCAAAAAGAAGAGCTCCAATTTCGGTCCCACAGAGGACGATTTTGAAACTCCGAACCCTATTTCTGGAGATTCATCCGATATTACGGACGTACCAGACACAAACACTGCGTCAGTTAACGACAACAAAATTCCATTAGATCCTGATGTCTTATCACCAATTGATAACAACACCAAATCACCACCTACTATGATAATTGATTCTGAGCAAAAGTCGTCAAACATTGGAGCAAGCAATGAAAGGTCGATTTTACCTGAAAAAGACCTTAAAATGCCTTCAAGAGAAGCTGGATTAACTAAGATCCGCGGGATACGGTTAGCCTTGATTTTCATGCTCATAACGGTCGTGTTTATTGTTTGCTATGTACCAAAAGTTGGAATGATGATTTACGAATCCCAGCATGAGAACTTCTGGATCGAACTTTCTCCCTCGGAACTGTCGGGCTTCAGGTTTATATACACTGCATTTATCATCAACAACATCGTTAATCCTATCATTTACGGCTTCCTCGACCGACAATTCCGTAAGGAGGTTATCAGTTTGTGTCGGTGTGTCAAGAAATAGGTGTATTCTTTGATTCTGACACGACGAAAACTTTCCGTGGATGTATTCCGATGGATCCTACTCGACCACGACTATCAGTGTAACGCTATACTGAAAATCGACTTTGCGACGTCGAGCTAAAAAGAATTGACTCTCACATAAAGTGTTATATGACATTCCTAAGTCTGATTATGCGAGAGAACTGGCGCTACTGCTTATTACTGATGTGTGTTCACACATGAACTGTGTTGCGTATTCACATTCATAAATATTGTATAATATTTAACCTGTACGAACAAAACAAGTGTTTTAAGTAGATATCGCTTCATGTGTTTGTTTTTTTCCCTTTTTTTTATTTCGAATAAATAGCACATAAATGGAAACTTCAAAAAAATCTCTGCTAAGAAATATAAGCGTCCCTTCTTCGAACAGCAGAAATCTAGGTCATAGACATCGACACGGTAATACACCTCGTCATCAAATCACTTCAAGGACACAGAAGCGCGATATAATGTAAACAAACAACACGGAAGTCACATTTTATTGTGATCTGAATGAGAGGTTTACTAACAGACTTGCTTATTTCGTAAACAACGTCTGTTGCAAAAATGACATCGAGAGAGACTTTGTAAGGGTAGTAGTTGTTTCCAGTCTGTATAAGTCTTAAGTCTCCGTGTTACGGTAACGTAACATACATCCTTAAGTCTCCGTTTTACAGTAACATAGTATACATCCTTAAGTCTCCGTGTTACAGTAACGTAGCATACACCCTTAAGTCTCCGTGTTACAGTAACAAGCATACATCCTTAAGTCCTCGTGTTACAGTAACAAGCATACATCCTTAAGTTTCCGTGTTACAGTAACAAGCATACATCCTCAAGTCTCCGTCTTACAATTACATAACATACATCCTTAAGTCTCCGTGTTACAGTAACAAGCATACATCCTTAAGTCCTCGTGTTACAGTAACGTAACATACACCCTTAAGTCTCCGTGTTACAGTAACAAGCATACATCCTTAAGTTTCCGTGTTACAGTAACAAACATACATCCTTAAGTCTCCGTGTTACAGTTACATAACATACATCCTTAAGTCTCCGTGTTACAGTAACAAGCATACATACTTAAGTCCTCGTGTTACAGTAACAAGCATACATCCTTAAGTCCTCGTGTTACAGTAACTAACATACACCCTTAAGTCTCCGTGTTACAGTAACAAGCATACATACTTAAGTCCTCGTGTTACAGTAACAAGCATACATCCTTAAGTCCTCGTGTTACAGTAACAAGTATACATCCTTAAGTCTCCGTGTTACAGTTACATAGCATACATCCCTAAGTATCGGTGTTACAGTAACATAGCATACATCCTTAAGTCCTCGTGTTACAGTAACAAGCATACATCCTCAAGTCTCCGTGTTACAGTTACGTAGCATACATCCTTAAGTCTCCGTGTTACAGTAACAAGCATACATCCTTCAATTATCATCTTACAGTAGCACTTTTCATCAAACAAATGTGCTGATTATTTTTCATAGAATATTTCTCACCTATGTTTGCTGCGTTCGATTGAGGGAGACGTTGAAATGACGTTATAATATGCATTTTACGTACATTTTGTATTGTTGTTTACTTTACGTTAAGGATGAACTTCTCTGAGAAGTAAAAAAAAGACAGTAATTAACATTTTTCTGATGATTTTTTTTTGTTTTTGTTTTTGTTTTTTTTTTTTTTTGAAAGGTTTGATTTTTCAATACAAATAAGGTTATGGTACTAGATATTAAGATAAAAAATATTTGAACATGCTCAATTTTCATTTCATTTGATGACAGAATTAATCTGCATATCAACCAAAAAAACGAGAAAGAAATTTCCATAATGACACAAATCTGTTATTTGGCTATCTTCCAGTTATCAAACTTTTTGAAGACTTTTTGAAAGAGAAATTTTCCAGAATAAGTTTCATGCTTTAAAGAAAGGGCTCTCTTTGCGTTATTTTCAGCCGAAATAGTCAATTTTTCTAAGATCGAGAAACCAGCTGAAATATTTATTTTCGTGTTCTAAAAATCGGGGAAAGTGGTCACCAAGTCGGAATTTACGAATTTGAATTCTGTGGTTTGTGGTGATAATTTATACAAAACTTTTGTTGAAATCTTCCCAGGATTTCTAGATTTATACTCAAGATAAGTACCTTAGCAACCAGAAAACGCTGAAATTATTGACGCTGATAACCGAATCTCGCCATCAACTTAAAACTGTACGCTGTCAAGTAATGTAGTCCATGAGCGAAATTTCTTTAAAACGTCACATAAATCGCCTTTTTTCAACTTAATCGGACCACTCTAGATGACATGAAATATAAAAAGACAAAGTCCAAGATGTTATGTTGGAATTAATTCAATATTTATCTATTTCAGTCTCTTATGTCGTTTAGCGTATAATAGTTAACGAGATCTGCCACTCGGACCTCGCAATAACATCATTCGAGGCAAGATTCCGGATGTTATGGGAAGAAATTGTTTGCGCATGTGTAGATATTGTGATTGGTTGATGTCTCAGCATTAGCGCTATCAGTTTGTTGTGATTGATGTGTGTGGAGACGGCTGGGTTCATAATTTTTTGCATGGATCTTAACGTAGGGAATTTCTTTAACTTAAAATTGGCCGTAAGGAAGCTAGCTTAACTCTTATTGTTTCCTGAACTTAAATAATGCTTTTCTATGGGAGTTAAGGTTTCCTTAAGTTAAGGAAGATTCATAAACCTGAAACCCGATGTTTGAAACAATTTCTTATTCTACTGTTTGGTAGAAACAACCGACTCCTGTAAACACAGAGTAGCTGCTCACATTGCAAAATAAATTATTAGATACTATATCCCGTGAGTCTAGATTGGCTGATTTATGAAGATTTGTTTATCTTCTTAGCATATAGGAGACCAGAACATCCACTTATACAATCATATAATTTACTTCCTGACAATACTTAAAAAAGTGTGTGTACATGAAGACATATTTCATCATAAATGTGTGTTGAAATGACAGTAATTAGAGCTGTACATAATGTATGTACATTAATTTATCTTTAGGGATTCTATCTTTTTTAATATCATCGAATTTCATTTTTGTCCTAGCTGGCACAGAGTACCCTGCCACGTCTATTGCACTTTTTGAGCTTGTGACTTTTTTCTTTCTTTTTTTTTCTTTCTTTTTCCATGTAACATATTGTCATCTTGTGTTGAAACCTTTCATAAAGATTTCATAAAGATAATATCTTATTTCGTGGAATTATTTTATAAAGATATTTTCGCTTATTCTATATAAAAAACCGGTCTACTCTTAAACCACGTAGCAATATCATTTCATTTATTTTCATTTTTATCAAAATTATGACATAATTTGATTCGGAACATTGTGAATTGTGTTAAGTCTTTACAAATTCAATATGTGCTCACTCTTTGAAGGTTTATACATAATTGTAATATAGATTACTTTGTATGATAATTCAATTTTATCAAATAGTATCTTTGCACGATAACGTATCTACGGAAGCGTATTAGTGCAACTTTTTTTAAAAAAAAATCTATTTTTATGTTTCACACGCACTACTCTGTAAAATTTACACTTTTATCTGTAATCTTTTTTACTTTAATCTGTATTTATTTTACTTTAATCTGTATTTATTTTACTTTAATCTGTATTTATTTTACTTTAATCTGTATTTTTTTTACTTTAATCTGTAAAATGTATCTGCTGCAAATTTTTATAAATTAATTTGTGTTGAGTGGAAAATTTGCAGAAAAAAAGTGTAAAGTTCATAGAGAAAAGTATCAAATTTACAGAGAAAAGTGTCAAATTTACAGAGAAAAGTGTAAAAATTACAGAGAAAAGTGTAAAAATTACAGAGAAAAGTGTAAAATTTACAGAGAAAAGTATCAAATTTACAGAGAAAAGTGAAAAATTTACAGAGAAAAGTCAAAACAGAGAAAAGTGTCAAATTTACAGAGAAAAGTGTCAAATTTACAGAGAAAAGTGTAAAAATTTACAGAGAAAAGTATCAAATTTACAGAGAAAAGTGTAAAATTTACAGAGAAAAGTGTCAAATTTACAGAGAAAAGTGAAAAATTTACAGAGAAAAGTGTAAAATTTACAGAGAAAAGTGTAAAAATTACAGAGAAAAGTGTAAAATTTACAGAGAAAAGTGTCAAATTTACAGAGAAATGTGTAAAATTTACAGAGAAAAGTGTAAAAATTACAGAGAAAAGTGTAAAATTTACAAATTTACAGAGAAAAGTGTCAAATTTACAGAGAAAAGTGAAAAATTTACAGAGAAAAGTGTCAAATTTACAGAAAAGTAAAAAGTGTCAAATTTACAGAGAAAAGTGAAAAATTTACAGAGAAAAAAATTTACAGAGAAAAGTATCAAATTTACAGAGAAAAGTGTAAAAATTACAGAGAAAAGTAAAATTTACAGAGAAAAGTGTAAAAATTACAGAGAAAAGTGTAAAAATTACAGAGAAAAGTGTCAAATTTACAGAGAAAAGTGTACAGAGAAAAGTGTCAAATTTACAGAGAAAATTTACAGTCAAATTTACAGAGAAAAGTGTAAAAATTTACAGAGAAAAGTTTACAGAGAAAAGTGTAAAATTTACAGAGAAAAGTGTAAAAATTTACAGAGAAAAGTGTAAAAATTTACAGAGAAAAGTATCAAATTTACAGATAAAATTATAAAATTTACATAGAAAAGTTTAAAAATTACAGAGAAAAGTGTCAAATTTACAGAGAAAAGTGTAAAAATTTACAGAGAAAAGTGTCAAATTTACAGAGAAAAAGAGAAAAGTGTAAAAATTACAGAGAAAAGTGAAAAATTTACAGAGAAAAGTGTAAAATTTACAGAGAAAAGTGAAAAATGTACAGAGAAAAGTGTAAAAATTACAGAGAAAAGTGTAAAAATTACAGAGAAAAGTGTAAAAATTACAGAGAAAAGTGTAAAAATTACAGAGAAAAGTGAAAAGTGTAAAATTTA